TTTTATATTATATTTATTAGAACTCTTTGTACTCTTTGCTCTACATTCCCCTCTGCTGCTGTGTCTGACTTGAATTTCTCCTACGGGGGATCAATAAAGATACATCTTATCTCTTATCTTATGTTTAGTCTCTAAGTACTGATGAGCAGTTTATTGATTAGATATCAAACAGAATCACTTCCGGTTTTGTTCTTTCACATTAAAACGTTTTCAAAAAAGTAATTTGAGATTAAATGTAAATAAACTCTCACCTTTAAAATCTGTACAAAGTGCTGCTGCTCGCTCTCACGTGTGAACAAACTCTGTCGCGTCTTGGTGACGTCACGGAGCGTCCGGCTAAAAGATCAGCTGATATACAACTTCCGGTTTTACCGTCAACATAAGAGTTTGGGGGTTCAGACTACTAATGAGTTTTTTTCATTCGTGAGCAGTAATTAAGTTTACGTTTTCCGTTTTTTTTTTGCCTTGGATAGTTTCTGTTTTATTCCATTTACAGTTTTACTTTATATACATCTAAAGAATCTATTGAAGTTTGAGGAGGCACTGCAGGCTGTGTCTGTTTATCTCTACTCATTTATTTATTCATATATTTATTCTGCTGTAATCCTGATTTTCTCCTCTGATTGATCAATAAATTCAGAATACATAATAAAAGATTTTTAGATTAATTATAACTTGTCTTGTTTGGTTTTTACAACCGCTCTTACTTTGAAAGTTCACACCGGAGTTGACGCTTTTCTGAGAAGAAAGGCATGCTGGGATAGCTGTGACGGCGGTATGTTATGAAGCTAACATTAGAAGTGAAGATGCAAAGACCAGTTTACAGTCTAGATCTGAGTCCCGGTCTGAGACTCAAACTGGTCCGTGCTGGATTCCGGTTCACGGCAGACCTCCTGGACCTCCGACCGGCGCAGCTCAACGCGGGTACCGGTTATATCCTCCAACCAAACTCCATTCAAAATACTGACGATTGTAGCTCTATAGGTTCAACGCTGCTCCTCTGTTATTAATCAATATTATTGATTATTGTTGTTGATTGTGTCCGTTTTAAAAGATTTTAATCACATTATTCTTCTGATTCACACACAGCTGCAGTTTAACCCTCGTCAAATAATAATAGTTACTATATTTATGTTTATATTTCTATGTATTGTGGCGACCCGGAATAATGGAGCTACGAAGCACGAACACAGCTTGAACACAGGTTACTGTAGGCCAACATCAGCTCTCCTACGCCCCCCCAATGTATTTATATATAATTTTTTATATATATTCTTTTTTGTGTATATTTCTATTTGTGTTATATTTATATGAATGACAAAAGAAAGAGAATAATTTATTTTTTAATGATAAACAGAACACCTCTTAATATGAACTAAATCATAACTTTTTAGTTCTCACCAAACTCCATTAAAAAAAACAGGTTTTACTGTCCTGACTTAACAGAGAATCACATTATTCTCTGATTGTCACATTTTTATTATTACACAGTTTAAAGCTCTAGTTTGTAACATGACTATTAATATATATATAATACAATATAATGAAATATAATATAATATCTATAGGTGTGTTTTCATTAGTGTTTAATCAGCTGATAATAAGAATCATTGTGTGTTTGTCTTACAATGAGACGTTTGTATCTACAGAGCAGTCCCAGAAGGGACAAACCAAACAAACCAAACACTGGATCTACATAGAGACTGTACTGTAGTTCATCTACTGACTGTTATCATTTCAGTTCAGTTAGTTGCAATCTGAAAACTTCTACAACTAGATAGTACTAACTCCTAAACACTGGTCTACAGTGTGACTCTGGTTCGGGGCTGCAGTGTGACTCTGGTTCTGGGCTGCAGTGTGACTCTGGTTCTGGTCTACAGACTGGTACTGGTTCATTGTGGATCAGGTCTGATGTGTTGTGTTGCAGAGGCTGGTCTGTCCCAGCAGGAGGCACTGGAGGTTCTGCAGTCGGTGCAGAGAGGACTAGGAGGTGATGAAGGAGGGTCTCTGACGGCTCTGGAGCTCCTGCAGAAGGAGGAAGAGGATCTGAGGAACATCGTGACGTTCTGCTCTCAGCTGGACTCGATTCTGGGAGGAGGACTTCCTGTCGGCAAAACCACCGAAATCTGTGGAGCTCCAGGAGTTGGAAAAACACAACTGTGGTAACAGACACACTGTAACACACACACACACACACTGTAACACACACACACACACTGTAACACACACACACACACTGTAACACACACACACACACTGTAACACACACACACAC